TCATTCCTTGGCTTATCTAAAATGGGAGAAATGGTGATTGTGATTTAACTAATATGTCATGCTATTCAAAAGTAACTCAGATTACTGAGGAACAGGTTTCAAATTCAAGAAGAAACAGTTTACATACTAATAAATTGGGTATTTTTACACAAAAGTGAAACAGAGTTGGCAGAAGATCTACAAGTTTCAAAAGGAGCAGGCAATACAATTTTATATTCCATCTATTTAAATCTATTATACCTTAGTATATCTTTTTATATTAAAATGACATTTTAACTCATTTTTAGCAGTAATAATAAATTTTCCATTTTCTAATTTTGTGCACAAAACTATGTATGAACGTAAATATATGTATAATGCTGTATGTTTTTTAAAAATTGGCGTTTTGCTTTTTGAAAACATCTGTTATTTTGTGATTGTCTTTTTTTAATAGGATTGCCTTGCAGTAAGAACTCTTGATCCACTTGTTAACACATCCAGCCTAATAATGAGAAAATGTTTCCCTAAAAACCGTCTTCCACTACCAACAATTAAAAGTGCTTTTCATTTTCAACTCCCAGTTATTCCTACCAGTGGTCCTGTGGCTCAGCTCTACAGTTTGCCTCCAGAAGGTACAGTTAGTTTTAATGCATTGGTTCTGTGTATATCTAACGTTGCTCTTGGTTCCATGAAATCAGACCTGATTAAACATTAATTACCTAGTCTAGGGGTCACCAGCATTTCAGTGACAGGTCATATGCTTGTGATACGGACACTGTTGCAGTCTATCAATCTTTCAATTATGCCACCAATCCCTTCACTGCTATATCCCCCTCTGCTTTCTAGGTGCTGCCAAAAGCCATGGGGAACAAGAAATTTAGTGGTGAGGGCACAGAGTAGGAGACTTTAAGTGGCTTCTTGTAACATGGTTCCTTTAAATGGCCTCTGGAGCAGCTTATTTAAAACTATAAACATAGAAATATGATGGTCAGTAAGAAAAAAGACAAAAAATTTAAAAGAAGAGATGTACAAAATAGATGTAGCATAAGGGGTGGAGCTATTTTTAACTTTTACGATCATTACGTTAGTATTTCTCGCGTGACAAATGCAACAAACAGCTTATTTTCTGCTGAATGGCTAAACCATAATAATATCAAATGTACTAAATTAGTGCAAAATTCCTGCTCTGAAATATAAACAATACTCAGTATTTAAAATGACACAGTGGGGGGTAAATTTTGCCATTTGTGGAAGAAGGTACGCATTCACTGAAGTTTGTAGATAGTGCCCACTTATATTGGCATTGTGTTTTAACCTAAATCATATCAAGCAAACAGTTGTAATGGGTTGGTCTCAACTTATTTGCAATTAAAATACATTAAGAAATATGGTAATGAAGAAGATTATCCCAGGCCTAAAGCCAGCAATGCCAAGCAGTTGGAGAAACTACTTCAGCTGCTTTCCTGTATGATTTTTAGCTGCCTTTGGAATTTTTGTATTGCTTGTTCCTAGTTTCTAGGATAAGAGACTTGGCTGGGCAAAAGGAGGTATAGCAGCAAAACTATATGCAGTCACTTCTTAATTACCAGGAACATTGTGATGGGAGGGCATGACAGTTAGTAGCTCATGGTTTGGAGGAGAGTTAAAGGTAGCTTAAGCTCACATTCCCTGTGCCTGAGCTATGCTGAACAGAGAAGTCCTGGATCTGTGCAGCTGGTCAAATCTTTCATTTATCAAATCTTGTTCTTACAGGTGCATGTTGTTTTGGTTTTGGCTTTGTTTTTTCAGTAGGAAAAACCATTTGCTGCACAGAAATTTTAATAATAGATTCTGCAATATCATCAAATGAGCATTCAGTCTTTGATAAATCTGGTGGTAGTAGTAGTGTTCATATGATTTCATAGGAATTGTATTCATATATGGTACTGACAGATCTCAACTGGTGAGTGGAAAAAATTTCACATTACATTTTTTTTCTGGGATGTGCATGTAGAAAACATACATCTGCCTTACTTATAGAGCATTTTATATCACAGTGGATGACGTAGTAGATGAAAGTGATGACAATGATGACATTGAAACAGAAACAGAAACAGAGACTGAAAATGAAAATGAAGATGACAAGGACCAGCATTTTAAGGTAAGCACTAGACTCGATCAAAGGGAGAACTCATAATGTACAATCAATTTTTAGTTAAAAAGTTTATTTTTGCACTTTACCACATGTTCAAGAATTAGGGTTGTCAGTAGCGATTCCAGCCATAATTTCCAAAGGGTCCAGATGGAATTTGTACAGCTAGCCCATTGAAAGTTCATGGAAGTTGGGTGTCTAACTCTCCTGTGGCTTCTGAAATACCAACTTTAGTAGCTAAAGTTTGTTTAACATAGACTTAAAATCCCTTTGTTTCATATTGCCCTATTTGAACACCTCTTCTTATCTGCAGATACACTTTGTTGGAGCTCTCCCTTCCAAGCTCAAGCCCTGTTTTTCCCACATGCCATCTCAAGCATGTAGATTCTCTCTGTAACTTTCAGGTGGTCTTTCTGCCCTGTCATATCACTCATACCCTCTAACACACTTAGTTTTTGAATAGGACACTGGTACATATGAATGCTTATCAATATTTAAAAGTTGAATGTTGTAAGGAAATGAGATGGGGATTTGCATGTTACGAAGTGAGAGGAGTCCAGCTGAAGGAAAGCATGAGTGCAATCTGGGTAGCACTATGTGGTGTAATTCAAGGGAATGTACAAGAGGGGTCCAACTATCCAGGGCTGCTGCATGTAGTAGGGTGATGCTCTAGGGCAGGGTTTTTCAGCCTTTTTAAGTAAGTGTACCCCCCGTAGCCAAATGCAGAGCTGGGGGGGGGGTGCGCATCCGGACACAGAGCACAGGGGAATGGAGGCTGCAGCATGCAAGCTTCCTGGCTCCCACCACATCTGGCTCAGAAGAGCTCCGTT